AACAAACAAAATGGGCAAAGGAAAATGAATAGACATGTGAAATGATGCTCAGGCTCCCTAGCCATCTGAGAGGTATCAATGAAAACCACGTTGAGGTACCACCTAACTCCAGTGAGCTTAGCCTACATTCAGAACTCAACTAACAATACCTGCTGGCATGGATGTGGGGAGAAAGGCACCCTCCTTCACTGCTGGTGGGAGTGTAGGCTAGTACAACCACTGTGTATGGAGCACTGTAACATAGTATAGTATTTCAACAACAGTCACAAATCCATCATTCTGCTACTTAAGTTACTTCCAATTATTGTCTTAATTCACTGTTACTACTGCACCATATTCATTTCTTTATAGAATCCATCACCTCTAGAAATAATGCCACTTATTTCTTTGCTTTTTCAATCTCCAATTTCTGGCACAGTGTCTGAAACATAACAACTGCTCAGTAAACAAATGTTGGACAAATCAACTAGCTCAGGCTTTCTATATTAGCTAATCACTGCAGCACATTCAAAAAGAGAGACTTATTAACCATGTTTAAATTAGAGTTACTAGGCAAAAAGAAGAGATGGAGAGATATCCCTCCACTGATTCACTCCCAAAAAGGCTACAGTGACTGGGGGTGGGTCTGACTGAAGCCAAGTGCAGGATTGTTTTCTGGGTCTTCTATGTGGATGCAGTGACCCAAACACCTGAGTCATCTTTTGCTGGTTTTGCCAGTCCACTAACAGGGAGATGATTTAGAAGGGTTAGTAGCCAGGAGGTAAACCAGCACCATGTGGGATGTTTGTTGACCTCCCAGATAGGGTTTTACATGCTATGCCACAAGGCCAGCCCCATTTCAGCGTATTTTTTTAAAGATTTATATTTTATTGGAAAGACAGATATACAGGGAGGAGGAGAGACAGAGAGGGAAGATCTTCTGTCCAATGATTCACTCCCCAGTGACCGCAACAGTTGGTGCTGTGCCAATACAAAGCCAGGAGCCTCTTCTAGGTCTCCTATGTGGGTGCAGGGTCCCAAGGTTTTGGGCCATCCTTGACTGCTTTCCCAGGTCATAAGCAGGGAGCTGGATGGGAAGTGGAGCTTCTATGATTAGAACCAGCACCCATATGGGATCATAGCGTGTTGAAGGCGAGGACTTTAGTCACTATGCTATCGTGCCGGCCCATTTCAGCATATTTTTAAGCTGTGTCATTGATTTTATTCTTAGCTTTGTGTTTTTCATCATTTGTATTTCTTTTGTAACACATTTTTCGTATTTTAAAATCAGATGTTATAACTCTCTTATTTAAAATTATTTTGTGCCACTGTGTGGCCTTTCAAACTAAACCATTAAGTCAAGAAACAATTATTGCTTGACTAGCCACTATGTCCTAAGAAAGGGAAAGCAGAGATGAGTCCATAGATGCATTCTGAATGTGTACAGATATGTAAAAACCAAGAATGATTAATTTGTCACTGTAAGATGCTGCCGTCTAAAATAACGGAGTGTTGGGGTCTACAGGAGCATGGGTATTTGACCTAGGACAGGGAGAGCATGTTTGGAAAGGTTTCCCACTAGGACTCAATTGTGATCAAAGAGAAGGCTGTCCAAAAGAGTCCCTCACATCACTCTCACATCATCTCCTTAGCCTGACCTCTGAGTACACTGAGTGCCTTGGGTCTGATGTTTGTCATTTTATCTCCTGTGTTTTCTCATTCTTCTCCAGAGGCAGGTGCCTACTAGTTAGCAAACTAAATGTCCATGCTGACTCTTCCTTCGCTTTGACCTGCTTACTCTTGTTTCCAAGCACATGAAATTCCTCTCCCTAGTCCCTACCCCAGATAAGAACCTCTATTTCACTTTCTCACCTCCCCTTCTCTGTTCAGCACAAATATTTTTCTGAAATTAGCCTGGATTCTTTTCTTCATTTACCGGAGAACAGTTTGCATTTCCCCAGGCATTACCAGTTCTAAATTAAATGGCACTGTTTTGGAAATGGAAATCCCCATACTCGCTTCAGATTAACCCTCAACATTGCCTTGGGAATACACAGAACAACACAAAGACATCTGATTTACCTAGGTAAACAAGGGCTTTAAAAACACTCTGTGAGGATCTGGGAATCTCCAGGGTTGGAATACAAGCTGCCTCCTGTCCTCCTGCTCCACTCTGGGGCACCCCCCTGCTCTGTGCATATGACCCCCTATTAAGAGGCTGTCAGGATCGCTCTTGAATCCCACTGCCTGTCTTTATAGTTTGCTAATGTCTAGTGCAGATTCGAGCCTGTTGTCTATAAGTTATTTGCTATATTCTTGATAGGTTATAGTCAACATCTTCCTCACACATTCTAAGAAGGTGGAAAATTTCTCTGCTCTCCCGACCCATTGCAGAATAACATAGGGTATTAAAAGCATATTAGGTTTTACAGTTCCTTGATGTAGATCATAAGCAGTCTGACTCACATTGATTGTGCGTTCTTTGGTTACATCACAGTATCTTATTGCATGTGATACAGGCTGTATGAGGTTGAAATAATATTACAATTTACAGGTACTATTTTTCAGATTGACATCATTTCATCTTAAATTAAAGCAAACATGTGTTATATAACCTTTTGGGATCGGCTCATTTCCCTTAGCATAATAATTTCCAGTTGGGCCCATTTGGCCACAAAGAAATGCATTTCATTTGTTTTTTTTAAATGGCTGAGTAGTAGTCCATGGAGTAGATGAACTATAGCTTTCTTATCCAGTCTTCTGTCGATGGGCATTTCAGTTGCTTCCAACTTTTTGCAATTATTGATTGTGCAGCTATGAACATAAGGGTGCACGTTGGTTTCTGGCGTAGCAGGTGTTTTGGATATATTCCTAGCAGTGCTATTATGGGTACCAAGGGCTGTATCCCAACTGCCGATGAAACCACTGGGAATTGACGTGCCCTCGTAGGCCAAGAACTCTGAGGCCATTCACTCCCTCTGGGATCTCCCACACAGGATGAAAGAAGCCCAGATCCTTCCTCACAGGATCTAATGTCATCAGAACAACAGCCAGGAGCCCTGAGCAGTCCTCAGAAACAGAAGAACAGTAAATTTCCTTGGGGACTCAGGAGGGGTGCTTTCTCTGGTCCTTTCTTAGTTCCAACTTTGGATCCCGACCCTATCTTGCAATGACCAGCGGGGTCGCTCCGGAGCACCCCACCCTATCCCCCCCAAAATTAGATTAGATAGAGACCAATAAGGTAAGCTTGGAACAGACAGGAAATGGTCAGCTTGGACTCACATATACCTTACTAGGTAGGACACAAAGATTAGTTACTCCTCACTAAGGTATTGAAGATTTTTCTGTACACCCCTCCTAAAACTGTTCTGTGCCTCAATTGTTAATATATGCCTTGTTAGAGTTATAAGCTTGTTTGGACTATCCTAATTTCACCAAGTTCAGTTAAAAACATGCTTCAACACTATAACCTGCTAAATATGGAAATGAAAATAAACATGAGACAGCTCCATACCCTATAACCACTTTAAGGTGTATAGCAGCCAGTTATGTAGAAACTAAAATTAAAATGTCAATGAGATAGTTACAGAATGTGGTTAAGAACTTGCATTTTCTAAAATATTGGTCACTCGATACCATCTCAATTAACTCCATAATGTTGTAAATTGTTATTGATGTTATGTTGTGGCTTTTCATTGGAGGGGATGATATTCTGCCAGCTCTACTTTAAGACCAGGGACGGTATCCCAAGGAAACTGTTGAATTTATCTGGACAATAAGATGCTGGACTCCCTCCATGATGCATGCTTGCAATAAAGGCACCATGACTGGATATGAACTGTACTACTGCAGCAATGTGGAGGAATCCAACATGGGGAGAGGGTATGGGGAGGGGATGGAGGAATCCCAGAGCCTTTGAAACTGTGTCATAAGATGAAGTTAAAAAAAAACACTCTGTGAACATAGTCAACTAATGACTTCACATTTAATTTAATGTTGACAGTTTAATTCAAATTGTAGTGAAGAGTAATGAGACCAAACAGGAGAAAATATTTAGCCTTTAATTTTAGTTATTTATTAGTGCTTATATAATGGTAATAATTATCACAGATTATCTTATTATCCTCAGTTTATTGATTATATGTACCTCTGTGTAACTTTAAATAAAACAATCTTGTGTCTATCTTGAATACAGAGTTTAAATCATATACATATATTTATATATATAATATATATTTTTATTTATATATATAATACATATTTTTAATCACAATTATACTTTTAAATTAAGCCAAAATGTATGGAAACACAATGATAAGTGGCAATTGAAGAATATCACTAAATAAGTTAACTTTACACAGAAAAATTATATTCACACATAGCACATATCATTATAAATGCACAGTGAATTTTATAATATAACTGGTCCTCACAATTTTGGTATGAAATAAAGGCGTAAAGTTTAAAAACCAAAATTCAACATATTGAAATTATAAAAATACGGGGACACCATTTTGATTTTTGAGACTCATCATTACCTGAACACACTGAGGAACTTAGTCAATGCTAATGATTTAGGTGCTGATTTGAAAATATGTAAAAATGCATAAATAATAAATGTACTGGATATGCTCATTTGCATTTCTTTTATGACAAGATCACAGAAATATATAAGCTTGGTCAGAAAAATTCCTGCTAAATATAACAGCATATTGCTATGTTGCCAGTTAATATCATATACAATCATATTAACCATCCAAGAAAATCATGCAAAATGTAATTTTCACTAACAGTTTTTGCTTTCAAGGAAATTTTATTCTGTACTACTGTTATCAAAAATGCAAATGGGTGGTTTTACTTAAATCTTTTCTTAAGAAAAAAGCAAATCTATCATCATGATGCCACATTACTGTACTTCATATTGTTATCTTCAAAATAAGTCAATGTTATTAAATTCATCCAAACATTTTCTTTATTAATGATGGACATGATATATTGTTTACTTTCTTTAAATGCATGCTTTAAAGAAAGTGGTTGTTCATGAGCCTTGCTTCCTGATGAATGACTCTTCCAGGTATTTGGACTGGTGAAGGATCTCTTGTTGGATTTGATATTTTAGAGGTTCTATATAAAAGTAAAAGCAAAAGTTAACCATATGCCATTTTAAGTATTTTACAAATGTTCTGTGAGTGCTTTTATTTCTGCATGGAGTTTGTGGCTGGAGGAAGAAAATGATCAAGTTTCTGAATGCAAAGTTCCAATAATAAACTCTCATAAAACTATTCTAAAGTGCATCAGTAATTTAGCTGTGATTTCCAAGTAATCAGTTGTTATAAAGACTTTTCTCAAATTTTTGAGGTTTAATCATTTTTTTCTACAAAAAAAATATAGGAAGCTAAAGGTTTTTAAAACGCAGCACAACATGAACCAAATGGAAAAATCAATGTTGTCTGCAGGTAAGTACTCCTGTGGTTGGGACTTGACCATGAGGTCAGTTAGCTGTGGCTTCCATAAAATGGGCTTCTTTGATTGTAGAGCTAACTTGTCTTCAGATGTGGGAAAACACAGAGTTCCTTATTCTGATGCTTTTGTGTTGTTTTCATGATGACTGCTGCTTTTTCATTTACCTCACACTGCCTCTGGAATTTTCACGTTACACAGCAACATCGATCTTAAATTATGTGGAAAGTCATTTGTAATGAAATGTAGAGTACTTACGAATACAAATAATTTGCTTTTCAGTGTGCATTACAGTATATTCAAGATTTTTGTCTATAGAAACAATACCCCCACTGTCATTCAATTCATGGACATATTTGGATTCAGGGAAGTCAGGTGAGGTTGCAGGTGACACACAGGGAATTGTGAGTGTTCTATAACTGTTTTACCTTGGAATGGCACTCATCTGTAAAAGCTCATGGCCCCTTGTGGCAGATATGAATTGAATACATTGTGTGTGGCTATGTAGTAAAGACTGAAAAGTATTAAAGTAAGATTTTTTGTTAGGCCAGAAAACCATCTGTGCTTTTCTGAAACAATAAGTTTGTCCTGGAATGTATAAGCAAGTTCAGTAACTGAACAGTGCTCTCAAATATTTTAAACTAAAGAAGGCTTAATAAATCCCAAATGTGACTTTCCCTCTTAGAAATGAACTCTAATTATTTGGCTTTCAAGCTGTATTTGGAACATAGGCAAGAGCTCATACAAATCTAACTTTTAAGGCTTTGGAGAAAAGCAGCTTGTTTTATTATTGGTTTGAATAATCATCACATTAAGTGTTTAAAGGGGTTTGTATTAAACTGGTAAATATTTTATTTAGCTGTAGTGCATTCAAAAATGAGTAAATTTGATCATACCTTTACCACGTATTTGATGATTTGCTATTACCTTGTATCTCCCCACTTCAGGCTCATTTTATCTGTGCATTAAGACCCCAAAATATGTAAGTCTTGAACTTCTGGAGGAGCAATCAATGTTTTTAGCTGCTACATGTCATGAGATAAGAGAAATATTGAAACTCTTGTGAAAGTCCAATTAGATTATTAAATAGAATTTTTGTGTGTACATATATGTACATGTGTGTATTTCCTCTATTAAATGTAACATTCACATTTTACATTTATATGTAATAAAATATAATTGACTAAAATGAGATTAAATATTCTTAAAAGTATGTGTATGTGTAGAATTTTATGTGCAACTGTAAAAATTTTAAATTTTAGAAATTTAGAAATAGTGGGGCAGGCAACTGACATAATAATGATCACTACGAGGGAGGCCCACACCCCATGTCAGAGTGCCTGGTTCAAATCTCAACCTTTCTACTTCCAATCCAGCTGCTGACTAATGTGAAAGCAGGTAGCAGGTGATACACCGAGCACTTTGTCTCTGCCTTCTGTTTGTACATTGGAACAGAGTTCTAGGATCCTGTTTGAGGTAGGCATTTCTTGAGTTAAACAGGAGGTGAAAGACAGTTCTCTCTCTTTCTCTGTTCTGTTTTCTTATATAATAAAAATAAATTTTAGAAAATGAAAAGAAATCAAATGCAATAATTTAGAGACCATGAATCTCTAATCGTATAGTCTCACTTCCGCACTAGCACATTATTGGAATTAAGCAAATGAAAAATATTCAGAAAGAAAAATAAATCAATGTCAGCTACTACTAGCTAGTGTCTTTCTTTGTGAACACTATGAGGCATCATTAAATATCTCATTCAATTATTGTATATTAAACTCGAATGAAATTCATTGGTAAACTAGAATGAAGCAAGAGTCTTGAAGGACATGTAAGCTTCAAAGAAGTATATGATAATTTGGTAATGTGAGCTCCTCAATGTTGCAAATAATTTTTATAAGCGATGCACTAAAATTCAATTTTGATTTTGTAGGAAAAGCAGGAGGAGCATTGCTAAAATTTTAATTTTACAGATACATAATACAAGTGTGCTTATAAAATATAGCATACAGTGTCTCCAGTGATCCCATTTCCTTTACATAGACGCAGCATAAGGTGTCGACTGATCTAGCCCATGGAAAAGGTGATTTTGTGTCTTAAAGAGAAGGGTTGATTATCAGACCCTTGGAACACAGTGTGCCCCTTGCAGCCCTCCAGCTCCGGGGTGTGTCCAGTTACCTGAGCTTGAGCAAAATCAGTAGCAGGCTCCCACAGGTGACCATCACACATGTGATAGCATAGATTACATGGCCTACAAGCACAATATGAAGAAGCACATTATTTAAAATATCATAATTCAAATGTTTCAGAGAATTTAACTTAAACTCACCATTGAAGGGGAGTTGAGATCCAGTCAAGGTCATTTCCTTTGTGTGTTTTCTTTTATACAGTGTAATGCTTTTGACATTTGACAGGGTTGGATAATCTGAAAGAAAATGATAAAAGTAAGATGAAACTATTCAAGCATGAATTATTTTGTCCCATATGTTCTAATTTGCCAAACATTATAAAGTAGCAATTTCTACAATGCTATTTTAATGAATCCAATAGATTTAAGTGAAAGTGAGAACACTTTTCTCAAAGTGTAATATTTTGTTTTCCCCACTTTTAATCAAATAATTCCCTATAGAAAATGTTCTTTGTAAAGCATAACTAAAATGATTATATTTTATATACGTATACTAGAACAGGTAAAATATTGTAACTTTAGCTTAACTGTTGTGATATTGACCCGAACTGGGTCTTCACATTCTGTTATGACCTATTTTTCTCTTCCAAAGGGGTGACTCATGAAAACTAAAGCACCCAGACTTGTTGGCCACTTGTATGAGAAGCACAATATGACAAAACGACCATCTTCTAGTAACCTTACAAAAATATATGACCAGGGGCCCGGCGCGGTGGCGTAAGTGGTTAAGGTCCTCGCCTTGCACGCCCGGGATCCCATATGGGCGCCGGTTCTAATCCCGGCAGCCCCGCTTCCCTTCCAGCTCCCTGCCTGTGGCCCGGGAAAGCAGTCGAGGACGGCCCAAAGCTTTGGGACCCTGCACCCGCGTGGGAGACCCAGAAGAGGCTCCTGGCTTCAGATCGGCATAGCATCGGCCCGTTGTGCTCACTTGGGGAGTGAATCATCGGACGGAAGATCTTCCTCTCTGTCTCTCCTCTCTGTATATCCCCCTTTCCAATAAAAAAAAATAATAATACAAATAAATCTTTCAAAAAAAATATGACCAGGCCTTGAAAATAAGTTGTTTCCTGTTAAGACATAATATTTTCACTTTAGATTTTCCACTTTTAAGACAAAAAAAAATGCAATCTTCAAAATAAATTGATAGGTCTAGTTTTGGTGGTTTTTATTGTCAATTCTGAAGTAAAATCATCCTTATTTTTGCTTCAGTCTGATACAAATGTGAACTTCAAGCATATGAAGACCCAGGTAACCATTCTGATTACGATGTTCACTTCAAGGCATTAGGAAGAATGAAGTAGAGTCTCCATTTAAAGACTTTGCTGTCCCTTGTAGATTTTTCCTGTGTTTTTAAGAATTGGAAGTTTGTAGCAATGAATGTACCAAATTGTACATAAGTAAATGTATGAAAGTGGGCTGTTGCACTTGTGGACACATGCTGACAGTGGTCTCTGAGTAGAAGGAAACTTAGAAGACACACTGCCAATGACTCTATCAACCGTCTCCGCCAGGACCCCTGTAGAGAAATCAGTGCCTTGGAAGCAAAGGTTTAAACTCTAAGTTAGAAATAGTCAGCACACAGATAGATTAGCATTTCAGATCGGTATTATGATTTTCAGTGTGAGTCAGGGGAAAAGCAATATGAGAACCAGAAAAAAATATAAAGGGTTAGCCATTAGAAAATAATTCTCAGAGAATCTGAAGTCTGGCATACGTAACACATGTGCTTGCGATGTTTATTAGTTCCCAGCTTACATTATACGATTAGATACTGTGAAAGGAGCTTTAGAATCCCCTGGCCTTTGACACTAAACAGTCAACCTCAATGAAAGGTGAAAGTACAAGAGGTAGAGGTCCCAACTTTTTGTTCAATTTTGTGACTGCAAGACATATTTTATTTAACATAAATAAATGGAAACATGGAGCAAATCTAAATAATACTGTTTTCACAGTAGTGCTTTCTTTATGAAAAATTTAAATTTAATAAAATTGAACATCTAGCTTTCTGAAGCAAAATGAGTAATAAAATTGTATATTTAAGTCAAGCAAGAATATGACAAGATGGTTTAAATCAATACTATGCTCAGTATCAGAATGTGAAAGATGAATAGCTTTAGTATCTTTAAAGGTTATCTTATAAAACATTGAACACACTGATACTCTGAATGTAAGTGTATGTAATATATGTTCTATTTGAACTGTGCTATTTTTCTTGCATGAAATTCTATCCCAGAGTATAATATAGTTCTAGTTACCTATTATAATTAATGATTGCATGAGAAAAAGGGGATTATTTTTGATAAATTAGGCTAACTTTTATATGTAACTGCTTAAAGTAATTCTTAAACATTCACCTAGCAAATTTAAAAAGAATTGTCTCATTCACTAAATTTCACTCACATGGAACTCATTAACGAAGTTATAATAGATCAATGACAGAAATGCTAACTAATGATCCCAATGAAAATTTAAATGAGCCTAACAATCACTCTACAATCTTAAATATTGCACCCTAGGAGGATACCAAATACCAGTTAGAGATTAATGTTTCTGAGGGTTTCTTGGCTACTGAAACCCATTGGAGATTCTTCCCCTCTTTTTATAAACAAAAATGAGGTTTAGCGTTTTAGAACTATGAAATTAAAGTCGGCTGAGTTGATATCTCAGCTCAGTTCCACACCATCTGCTGTATTTATAGATAAACACTGTCAGTCAGTTGTTTTTCTTAATGTATGCTCTAGAGGAACTAATGCTATTATGAACTATTTTGTAAAATCCCTGTACATTTGACAGGAAATCAAGATTAATTTCAATCTTGCATTAGGAACAAATTAAATACTGTTCCTTCCAAATGAGTTACAGAGATAGGATCACATTTATTTTTTTTTCCAAAATCCTTGTGTAGGCCACTAAGGGCTGCTGGGGACTGAAACTGCACTGAATAATGTCTATGAAATCGTAAATTCCCAGGAAAAGATCTGATAGATTGGTTATACAATGGTGATTTAAAAATAAATGTTAGAATATTTTAAGTGGAATAATTTAAAATAATTTAAAATAGAATAATTTAAAATAGAAAGTAAGCATGGGACCCTGTGTGATAGCATAGTGGTTAAAGTCCTCACCTTGCACGTGTTGGGATACCATATGGGCACCGGTTCTAATCCTGGCAACCCTGCTTCCCATTCAACTCCCTGCCTGTGGCCCGGGAAAGCAGTCGAGGACAACCCAAAGCGTTGGGACAATGCACACGCGTGGGAGACCTGGAAGAGCTCCTGGCTCGGATCAGCTCAGCTCCAGCCATTGCGGCCGCTTGGGGAGTGAATCATCAGACTGAAGATCTTCCTCTCTGTTTCTCCTCCTCTCCTTTCCAATAAAAACAAATCAATCTTTAAAAAAGTAAGTAAACATATAACATGCTGTGAATGTGCAACTGTTCTTTCATTTATTTTTCATTGAATCATAGAAAAACCAGCTTGGAAAAAACGGCATGTGTTTAGAGTGATCTAAATAGGGAAAAATATGTTTCCCAAACTAAACAGTCATTACAAGAGCTTGCACAAATAAGACAATGTGAGGTAATAATGGGAATAATTTGAACTGTACTTGATAGCTTTCATAACTTTGTGTGAAGGTTTGGGAGGCTATAAACTTTTTTAGTGAAGATGAGTATAAGCTACGCCATCATTGAGAGTCCAAGTAGGATTATTATAGTGTAGTTAGCAACTAAACAATTTTCCTAAAACTAGTGTTTTGCATATTTCTAAGAATTTACCCAAATGGCTGATACAATTGTTTTCCTTAGTTTATTGAAAACACTAGAGCACAACACATTAGGAAGAAAATGAAGAGGAGTATCTTTTGGAGGGCAATCATCATTATCTAAAATGATGAAATGACCCCAAATCAGTTTGCTGTGGATACATAAGAGAAAGGATAATCCTTTCCCAGGTGTATTTTTAATCCGCAGTTGCTGTGTTGTTCAGCATGAACTTGGGATATGTCTAAACTGGGGCCATCCATCATTACCAGCCTGCAATAGGATCAAGATCAGTTCAAATTCCTCATCCACGTGTCTGATCTATGGTTGAGCACCAAAGGAAACTGGCTCTGATCTTCCCATGCAGGGACTAGCTCTGTGTATTCACTTGACATCTACCTCCTTTTTCTTCTCTTAGGAGGACGACTACTCTTTATTATGCAGCCTGGGATGGAAGAGAAATGGGGTATTTAAGGATACAGTCACTGAAGTGCCTATGCTAGTTCACATTTGTAGCCTACAGCCCACTGAGACCAGTACATCACGGAAGTAGAAGTAAGAAGCCTATTTCTATGGACTGCTGTTGCCGCTACGGACTCCTGCCAAAGACCGTTGCAATCAGTCACAGCTGATAATGGTCAAACTCAAAGTTTGATCAGTTGGAGATCCAGGCAAGTCATTTGCTATTAGGGTGAGTTTTAGGATTCTCCCAATAGGCCTGGGGACAAGGACCATTAGAATCTATACAGTGTTAGAATTTACCGATTGGTACAGAGTTCTAAGAGAAAGTTCTGTGCTTCCTTCTCTGTCTGTGTTCGGAAGAATGTTGATGGAGGCAGTCACTTGACCACCTGGCTAAAGAAAACCAGGAAACTCATAACAGGACCACCATAGAACCTTGTCTATCCTTGGATATTAAACTTTTGTGTATAAAGTCTAGACTTGGAATAAATCTCCTTTAGACCAAGCAGAATGAAAGGGATTTCTCCTTTGATGCTTAGGGACTTTAGGGCAGGGATGAGTAAACAGCCGTTTCTCTCTTCTTCAATGCATATATTATTAACATTGCACCCAAATGCATATATTATTATTGTTATTATACTGTTTTCTCTCTCTTGGCTGCCTTAGCTCTGTTAAGGTGACTTGATGCATTAATACCTACAGAAATTGGTGTTTCTGTGGGAAGATGATCATGGGAGCATCTTAAGTACATTTTACTGCCTCCCCGATCCCTTCTCTTTAAAATGAGATAATGTCCACCACAATAAATTGTTAAAATCTGAACAAGAGGGAGTCAGTATCAGGGACACCGTGGGGAACACACCACCACCGGCAACACCACCATGCCACATGGGTGTAGTTTCATGTCCTGGATGCTCCACTTCTGACCTAGGTCTTTAATAAAGACCTGGGAAAAACCAGTGGAAGATGGCCCCCGTGTTCGGGCTCCTGGCACCTGCATTAAGGACCTGGATGA